ACACGGATCGTCCGTTATCGGACGGAACGATATATATATATTTATATATAATATTCGTTAAAAAAAACGAATATATATATATATATATATATATATATATATATATATATATATATATATATATATATATATATATATATATATAAACGAGGCAACGTCGCGTCGCCCCACGTGGGAGAAGGAAAAGACGACGTCGCCTTTTATAAAAAAAAAAAATATATATAAATATATATAATCTTTTATATATATATATATATATATATATATATATATATATATATATATTTATTTATTTATTTATATACTGAGCGGTATATCGCTCGGTATATAGTATCGTATTGTACCGAGCTAACGTCGAAACTCCGGTACGATACGAAATTGCGAACCTTGGTTAGAAACATTGGTAGAGTATTAATACAAGATGATTCATTTATCCGGTATTAAGGGAGTCATGAATTGACAATTTTGACTTCTTATGAAGGAATAACATGAGGCCTCTGTCAAGATGAAACAATAGAAGATGGAGCCTAAGATTGAGATTGAAAATTTTGAAGCTCAAAGATGTGACCCTTGAGAGTAGCTTGAAGACGTTTTCCAAAATAACCATTTTTCCTTCTTTTATTTCCTTCACAACACAAATATTATTTTAACTAGGAACATCAGAGTTACTCGATCCATAATCCTATACACTAGTCTAATTGTTGGGAATGTAAAATAATTCAAAAACGTACAACACAAATTTCTTGGGCTTGATCTGAATCAATCTAATGTGGAAATGAGTCCTCTGTAGAATTTTCTTTTATTTTTCTTATTTTCTCCATTTTTTTCTCTTCCTTTCTCTTTCTCTTATTCCTCTCTGTTTCTTTCATGATCTCTTTTTCTCTGTTTCTCTTCTTTTTACTCCTCTCTCTTCTTTTCTTTTCTTCTTTTCCTTTTCTTTCTTTTCTCCCTTCCTCTACTTGCAGTTCTCACACATACAAAGCCTCTCTCCTTCGTTTAAGAGAGATGTGACAGGGAGAGTCAGTAAGAGAAGCAGTGGGATATTTTTTTTATTTTTTTGCAATTTAGTCCTCATAAATATTATATTTTCATTTAGGTCCTTATATGTAATATCCCTATTTCACCTAAATGGAAATATAATCTTTATGAGGATTAATTATAAAATGTCAACAAAAAGTTAAACTCCATTCCGCTTCTCATGGACTCTCCCTATGGCCTCTCTTTTAATCGAGAGAGAGGGTTCATGTGTGTGAGAAAAGGAAGAGAGGATCTCGAGGAAGAAGAGAAGGTAGAAGAGAGAGAGTGGAGAGGAAAGGAACAAAAAGAGATGATTGGGAGAGGAGTTGTCTCATGAGAGGAGAAAAGAATGAAAAGAAAAGAAAGAAAAGGAGAAATGAAAGGGGAGAGCAGAAAAAAAGAGGAAAATAAAAAAATAAAAGAAAATTTTATTAAAAGCCCTTTTTCATTCCATTACTATGCTACTAATTATACTAGTGTACAGGATTATATATTGATTAATTGTGATGTTTCTAGTTAATTATGATATTTTTGCAGTGAAAAATTAAAAGAAGAAAAATGATTGTGCAAAAATAAGAAAAGAAAAGGAGACATTAGAATTATATATTTGTATCGAGGATATTTAATTCAAGTAAGTATTCGATGACTCCATCGAGTCTGTTTTTGAAATTAATAATGCATGTATTTAAAATTTGTAAATGCATATGATTTACATGATTTACAAGCCATTTTATTATTTTAAATATTGCAAAAGAATTTATATATTGATAATTTAGAAAAACAAATGATTTAAATAATCATTTGTTGTTTTATAAGCATTTATTTATTTATGTTGTTTAAATTTACATTAAAATATCTGTTTTAATGATATATTTGAAAAGAATTAAAAATATCGAATTATTATTGGTTTTAAATGATATATGATTTTATTATATTTGAAGGATTTGCTCAAACTCTTAGTTTGTAAAAGTTATGCATGTTATTGTACATGACACTTGTCTAGTTAGTATAGCTATGATATGGATCCTACCAAGGGTGGTTATATATTGGTTGTATATTCAGAAACTAGTTTCTTTTGAGATATGTGTCACCTATTTGATGGGGCTAAACATAGTTCTGAGCCTTGTCATGGGATATAATATGACTATAATCATAAATATTGCTGACTTCTGTTCTGGCATGTGCACCTTAGTTCTGACATGTGACCTTAGCTATACTTATGCTTATTAATCCTTCCTTATATTTCTACTTATTTGTGAATCACTAATGGCAGTCTTTTGCACTACAATGATGATTTATGATATGATATATGACATTGGCTACATTTGTGCTTTCATTATGAAAATGCATTTAGATACATGTTGCTTTGAAAAATATGCTAAGCATTTTATGTTAGCAATTTCTGATTTAAAATACATATGAAGCTTAAGTTTTTGTAAATTGTATAAGCACAAAGAAACATTTGATATTCCTGCATATTTCAAAGGCATGTATTAAATGCATAAAGAATTCACATGTTTTAAGAAAAACATTTATTTATAATAAGTTTTGCCAGCATGTGAGTCTGAGTTGTAGTTTGCTCATATGATTATTTTTTAATTTTTTAGAATTGAGGAGTAGCTTATTTTTTGATATGGATAGAAGAACGATTTGAAGTCTTGGGCATTATCGTATACATTTAGATTATTTTTTATGTATATATTATTTGGACTAGAATATTATGAACTCTAAAAGAGTTGTTGAAATTATTGAGGTTATGACTGCCTAGAATTGTGACATTGTGCTACTGGGCTGTTTCAGTGAGAGAGGGAGAAAGAATGACAGTGTAAGAAAATGATGATAAAAATGGGAAAGAAGAAATGGTGATGGAAGAAAAGGACAATAGTGAGAGACAATGTAGGGATGACGATGAGAGTAAACATGACAGGATAAGGGGTTAACAAATAGAATATGATTTTCTTCTCATTCATCCTTATAATAAGAAAAGAAACGTCATTGCAGTTGGAAAAGAAACTGCCTTGTGTAACAAACAAAGAATCAAGGGCATTATAATCTTTCTAAGGTTTAGATGGTCTAGTTAATGGATCAGTTTGACTGAGCATTTGGTTCCCCATATTGGCTGTTCTGCCTGGGTCTTATAAGTTATAACTGTGGCTTCAAACAACTTCAGCAGCAATTCTTCTGAAGTTTGGACGCATCATAAACTTAGTGAAATAACAAACAAATATGGCAGAGAGGAGCTGCATGTTTTATATAGGTCTGGGTGTCATGAATTCCCAAGCCATTTGTGAGGTTTGTTATGTTTGCTGTCTAGTCATTTTGACAAAACATTACATTACTGGAGGTTATCTTGATTTGGTTCCCAGTTTTGGATTTGTTTTCTTGAGTTTTGGCTAAGTTTTGGAGGTGGGGAACACAATGGTTCATGTTTTGTCAATGATGTACAGTGTATATTTGGAATTAGATTGTGTTGACCATCATGGACACTGTGCTGTAGAGTGCTGGCTGAGCTGATATATAATGACTCTAAATCAGGGTTAGGCAAGCCAGCGATTATGAGCTTGGTTCAACAGCTGATCTAGCTTGTTTGGTTTGTATACTTTTCACAAGTACATTTGGCATGCTGCAGAGTCATAGTTTCTATATTCATTATTTTTTGTGACAAACCCATGAAATATCATGCCCATCGACACGTATATTTATCTGACATGAATGTTGCAACTATTTTATTCCTGAGTACTGATTTGTGACTTGTTATTGGTACTCCCATAGTTTGTCCATTGGAATTTGAAGAGCCTTCATCAATAATCAAAGCATGTGGTGATATGGCTCCTTCCAGTCTTTCCTGTTGCAGTTCGTTGAACACTTATATTGCATCAATACAGAAGCAGATGCTCATAACAAATAGGCAAGCCATCAATTGTGCGACATTCTTTGGGTCAATGCTACAGAAAGGTGGAGTTACAACAAACATTTATGAACTTTGCAACGTTGACCTGAAAGATTTCAGCCTTCAGTGTATGTTTTCCAGCCACTGGCCTTTTAATTTCAGACTAAGCCTCTCTTGATGTTGTATGATATCTAATACTAGGATTTTCTTCTTTTTCTGAATGCATTTGATGGGTCCAGCATATGGCCAACAAGGTCCGTTTTTGCATTAGAGAAATTTAGTTACATTTTTTATATGGTTAACAGTACTGCCCGCATCTTAGTTCTATAACTTTCTGAATGCAGGATGTTTGCTTCGCAGTTTACCGGCAGATATTGTGTTTGACAATGTCACAGGCTTCAGTTTTACATGTGATTTAAGTGATAATATTGCTGCTCCATGGCCTTCATCATCCTCTCTCTCGACCTTTTCTCTCTGTGCTCCTGGTAAGTAAAGTCCATGGCTTGAGTTATTACCTTGTAGTAAGGAGATTGTTAGGGTTTCTTGATTTGGATTGTCATAAACATTAGAATGTTGGTTTGACTTTGACATATTTTCTGGTTTGCCTCTTTAACTTTTGCAGAGATGTCATTGCCTGCGCTGCCTATACCTGAGGCTTCTATAAGCTCAGGTAAGTCATATTTGCTGATTTCGCTTAAATTCACATTCTTATTAACATAATTTTCTTGCCCTCAAGGAAGTATCATTTATCCCATAGCTCTTTTCACAAATTTTCTTTGAAATTAGACATTGTTGAAGACTCAAGTTGAAGTGATTTGGGGATGATATTTGGGTTTGCTTATTTACTTTCCTAGTCAATTAGTTGCGAAAGCAAGATATTGGATGACACTTGTGACCAATTGTCATGCTGGTTTGGTTGCCCTAGATGCCATATATTGTGCCTGTTATTAAGAAATTGCTGAAGTGAACTGGTCAAAAGTGACTTGTGCATGATGTTTGATTTGATGAATCAAACATGTGAATATCTTTTGTTTCTGTTTCTGATGTTTGTTTTTGTTTTAGAATCATTAACATTGTTTTGTTACCCACTTGTAGGTAGCTACAACACTGCAAGAATCATCCTCTCCATTGTACATGTCATCTCCAGCTTATTGCTATGACCAAGTCTGAGCCAGGGGGTGATCCAGATGTCAGGAAATCACTTGTGGAGCCAGTTTACATGTACATCGAGACGATCAATTTTCATGTATAGCAGCTTATTTTCGGAGGAAAGCATTTGGATCTGTGGACTGGGAGCAATACTAGGGTATGGGGGAAGAAGAGGTGGTCTCGGGAGCAATACATGGGAGAGAGACCAGAGGAAGAGGACTCTCGGAATGGTAGGCTGCCTGATGGCAAAGGTGTGTTGTGAATAGGGTATGGATGCCGTATGTGTTTGTTTGTATTTGGGTTTTCTTTTGTGTCTCCCTCCCATTCTCTTCTCCATCCGTTTGTTATTTTATTGCATACTCGGCATGCTTAGTTGATGGGTTGGGAATTGCTGATTTGCATTTGCGTTTACACCGACTCCAATTTTGGTTACTGATGCTGACATACAAATGAAGTACACATTTTGAGCGGCAGGTCATTGTTTGACGTAGCTGGTGGCATCATCTAACAATGAGGCCAGAATTCAAACCCTAAATTCTGAATGTGTGTGGTTTCTTGGTCGATTTGGGAAAAAGCTCGAGGACAGGCAATAGAAGACAGCTCTCTCGTCTCCATCGACTCATTTTAAGCTTCTCCAGCGACGGCAACATGGTCGGGAGCAGCGCCATGGCCGGGTGGATCGCCGGCACTGGGAGCGGGAGCGGGATCGTGAAGCAGTACAGCCTCGGGGGGAAGAGTTCTGGTGTACGGGACGTCGCTGATCACGCGGCGGTCGTCGAGGCTGTACCTCGTCTTCGTGGTCGGCCCCGACGACAACGCCCCCTCTTCGTCGAATTATCTGCTGCCGGAGCATCGGGACAAGGACTCCGTCTCAGTGAACTACACCGCCGCGGGTGAGTGGGCTTCGCGCCGCTGCTTTCACGCATGCACTGGTTGCGCTGCTTCATGGTACGTGGGCAGGTGTGGTGAGCTCGGACGACGGCGGCGGCGGAGACGGCGAGGGAGGCGACCTGGTGTTCGGATCGCCGAGGCAGCACGCGTTGCTGGTGATGCTGGCCGGGGTGAGGGGTGCTGATGCCGGTGGGCGTCGCGGTGGTGCGTTTCTTCAAGGACTGGGATCCGCTGTGGTTCTACTCCCACGCGTCGATACAAGGGCTCGGGTTTGGGCTGGGCGTCGCCGGGGCGTAAGTGGCGTGGACGTCCACAAGGGACTCGGCTTCGCCATACTGGTTTTCATATTAGACATTAACATTATCTAGAATTAGGATCGTCGTCGTCAATTTGGAGGATGATATATCATGCATGCCACAAAAACTCGAGGCCAGTCACATGCGTTAACTTTGCCTTTCTTCTTCCCGACGCTGACAGCACTGACTTGGAATCTAAGAACTTGATGGTGGTTGAGGTTATGAGGTCTGCGACTACCTGCGTGCAGGTGATGGCGGCCGTGCTCGCTTGCCCTGACAAGGCGTCCAGGGCGGCGAAGTACTGGAACTGGTTTCACCGCTACGTGGGGCCTCGCTTACGGCGTTGGGGCGATCATCGCTGTGACTTCGGAGACCAGAAGGTGCATTGCGAGGTACGAGTGAGCGAGAGCAGAAGTTAACGAGGCAGTGCTTTTGTTTGGTTGCCAGTGGCTTGCAGCTTTTGCAGTACAAAACTGGCACAAGTTTGATGGCAGCAAAAGATGTAGTGGCATCAGATTTAAAACCGGAGCAGGAGCTTGAGCTCTCTCTGTTCTCTATCCAAGTGGATTTCAATCGAGATAACAATACCTACCAAAACCAACCATTGATAAATCCAAGTAGTGTAGTAATCAAGTACAAACCCTGGATAAAATTTCCCAAGTTTCTGATAATGATAACTATAACAAGTTCATGTTGGTGCATGATAATTGGGTCACAAGCAAGAAGAAATAGCTTATAAAGAGATGATGGCACCAGGTTTTCACTCATCATTCACTCCTGAAGCGGAGCACTCTCCTGGGATTGAGAAGCCAAGGCTCTTGTTTTCAGCTCGGTCGAGGGGGGCTGCTGCTGTGGTTGCAGTTCATGTTGTTGCGGGAGCATCTGCTGCTGATGCTGAGAATGGATGTGAAGTTGTTGAAGTTGGTGAGCTGCCATGAGTGATTGCAGTGCATGATTGTGGTGATAATATTGCTGGCCTACCCCCGAGGATGACGTCTGCGTGTAGTTGACCATCTGCGCACCGTTAGCAATAGCCGTTCCGGTCGCAATTTTCAATCGCTGAACCTCCCCTCTTAGTGTCTCATTTAATGCTGGTTCAAGAATTCAAATAAGTTAGACAGGCGACACTTCTTGTGTAAGGCAAAGCAAATTCCAGACTGATCCTGACATATGGGACACAGGAAAGGCTTCAAACAAGGAAAACTTGATGTTTAAGGAAAAAGACTATGAAAAGTAGCACGAATTTTCTGTCTTCACTGATAATTTGTTGTTATAATCCTCGCATCACAATATTCCAAAAACAATATCACGAATACGAACAACTACACAGCCAACTTGGAATACCTCATAAGAGATAACAGGGAGTGCATGATATCAAAGAACTATTGAAGCCTTACCATCCTGCAGGTGAACCTGCTGCTCCATGGTCTGTAGGCGTAACTTCAATTCATTGTTTTCAGCAGTCAAAGCAGTATTGTCTGTCTGACAATGTAGACCAGCAAGGGAAGATTTCAGTCAATTCAGATAGGCATTCCAAGTTCATTGCTATCAGAATCTAACAAGAAAATCAAGACATGGAAACCGAAATGATTTAAGCCGATCCATGTGAAGAAAATCACATACCACGAGCAATTCTAGCTTTACATGTATTTTACTTCTGGTTTCCTATTTTTTCCATAAATCTTAAATGTCAATATATTGGAACTGTTGAATGTAAAATAAATAAACACGTCTTGGCTCGCTAATGTAACCAAAGAGTTCTTTCACTAGTCACTTTGAGTTAAAGTTATTCTGACACCGAGTTCTCTACTAGTCCATCTTGACTATTCTTTTCAATAGACTAAGACAGCTTACTTTTTCTTAATGAATACACATAATTTGTCATTTATGATCATTTGCAACAATTTCGATGGCTGTTTATATGAAAATTATCTGAATCGAGGAACTTATAAATCCTATAGAACAGAAAACAACAATTTCGATAACGAGATGTATGGTTAAGCTGGAAACACTCTAATATCCTCCAATCTACAAGCAAACACCCAAGATCCTTATTGAAAATAAAATGCCATCTGCCATGTTGAAATGCTCTGGATAGAGCACAAATTGTTGCTTCCTTTTTAATCAACTCTTTCAAGTTGTTCCGTCTTGTTGTGCAGTTGTCCTTTCATCTTAGTTCTTGCAATTTAGATCCAGAACAATAAAGATAGATGAACTTTGCAGCATGAATTAATAAGGTCCAAAGAGTCAATTGGTTAACTGATGATAGCTTTCATGTTCAAATAACTTATAGAAGAACATGCACCTGAAACATGGTTAACTGAGATGACAATGTTGTTGCTTCTGTCTGCAAAGTTAATATTTTCCGCTCAAGTTCTGCTATGTACCGAAGCTTCCTTTCTTTTGACCTGGCAGCTGACTGCCTATTTGCCCAGATCCTAAAACATTTGACCAGAGTATTTATCACAAGATAATGTACCTTAGTGAACTTGTAATACTAGATTGGTATTTCACAATTGAAGTTCGTGCAAAGGATCATCTTGGAGCAGTATAAAAAACTACAAAAATAGTTGTATAAGGCATATATCTGATTCGTCTTTAGACATTAATCTAACCAGGAAACAGAAGAATTAGCATGACATCAAGAAAAAGAAATTATGATGTAATCCACAGATCTGGCATGCCACATATTAGATAATTCACTAGCTTAGCATGTCTTGAACAAAAATTATTGAAACATTGGAAACAAAAATACTTACTCCGTGTCTTTCTGCCTATGCCCATCATTAATCCATCCCCTTTCCCTATGTCCATAACATGCTATTGTTATTAAAGTATGGGCACCATGAAAGGGCTCCAAAATTGATAGGGTTTCAAATGTAAATATGGTTTCAGTTATAAAATTAAATCGATAATTATCTCATTATAAAAATAAGAAAGGGAATGGAATGAACAGAAAAAGTCAGATGAAGACAATAAGGAAAACACATTCACCTTATTGACCAAGAACCCCTTTTCATTGATGTAGAGTCACCAAAACACCATTAGTTTTCCTATCGAGGATACATGACAGAACAAACATATGTATCCAATAAAAACAAGGGGCCTTTACATTGATCCGACTTCATTTTGTGAACAATTAAAGTTTCGTCACCTACATACCTTATATATAGACTCCTCAGATCTAAATCTAACAGTGAACTGTATAAGAAAAAATCTCAGGTCACTTGCCTCTTCTTTTCTTTTCGCTCTGCTGAATTAATCTTTAATCTGGATTAAAAAACTGTAAGATAAGTTCTAGTTGTAACACTCCTATTGTCCTACAAAAGATAATGAAAGCATCTGTGATGGTGTTTTCATGTCGTTAATGATGTAGTTCAATACACTTGAGCACTGAGATCTGAGAAGAGAACTGTATGTAGCATAGTCTTAATTAACCAATATCATTAAATATATAACAAATTGGTTTAGAAGAACTGAAGCAAGAATTCTTTCCTCTTTTTCAGTCCACTACTGATTTCCACCCCATCATAAATTACACAATTTTCACACTGAGATGCTTTGTGATGAATGGCCCATGTAACCGTACTGATATCAAGTATCACACCAAGACATTGTTTGTATGCATCCGGATCAGAAACTTCAGTTTTATCTTAGAATCCTTATTGTTAATATTGTTTTTAGTTTAATTTCAGGATAACAAATGGAACCTCTATGCTTGTCCGCTTTGTGACCTATTTTGATATCAACCAGAAAATGCTAAGCACTTGGTTCTCTAACAGTATGTGTACCTGTAAAGAATTGTAGGAAAAACAAAGACTCTGGCAACTATGCTTTATTTCACCAAAATGCATGGTGGACTTCTAAAAGAATTGATAAAAGGAAATCTGCTTCACTAACTAACCTTTTTGCTCGCTTTGGGTCGATAAGTGCAAGTTCAGCAAGCTTTGCCGCTGACATGGCCTTCTTTTCCTCTGTCGAGGACATTCCCTCTGTGCCCGATGCCAACAGCTCTGGCTTGATAGAAGTAGACCCGTCGAAGGACTGACTATGCTGGTGCCTGACCCTTGGCCTCTCACCAGAAGCTGCAGCCACCATCTCAGCCTGAGAAGAAGCAGGTGCACCAGCAGCTCCAGTGCCAGAAGTTTCACTTCCCTGCAATTCCAATCCTGACGATGCCGAGGATGAAGCTATCTTGTCCAGATCAAGATACATGGAGATCAAATCTTCCTCGGTCTCATCAGACAACGATGGTCCTTCTCCAGAACCTACGATACCGAGTTCACTGTCGAAGCTTATGTCATCCGGGAGGCTCAAAATCTCTGAGTGAGCTCGCCGGTGGCCAGCATTTCGCGGTGGATTATCCGGCATTCGGTCAATGTCATGACTGAATCGCCCACCACCATGACCGTCAATGGGAGTAGGAGACACAGCGGGTGTCTCGCACTTGGCAGAAAGGGTGCTCGAAGTCGAAGCCGAGGCAAAGGCAGCAAACCGTGACGAAGGAGGAGGAGGTAAACCACCACTCTCGTGAACTGCTGACTTATCCCTCTCCATAGCCCTAAATCATGTAACCCTAAAAAGCAAGCCCCGAACCAAGAACCAATCCCTCGTGGAGGGCAGCCAGGCTACAAAACCCTAGAAGTTGAGAAATCGAGGCGTAAAACCTCACAGAGACCACGATTCAGAAACCCTAAAAAATCGATCTTTAGCCCGAAGAACCCAATCCAAAGAAGGAAAGCGCGAAGATCACAAAACAAGATAAAACAATGGATTCATTCGATCTAAGCTCCAAGCAACGATCTTTTTCCCACGGGAAGCGCCCAAGAACGCATCAAGACCACAGAATCACTCGATAAGCTGGCATTGCGATGAGATGGAGGGGATTGGCCTGAGATAAAGCAAGAAGAATCGACGCCGAACGGAAGAACAGTGGAAACAGAGAAGCTTCTAGAAAGACGTCCGTTCTACAGGGAGAGAAGGAACCATTCCTTGCGACCACTAAAATTATCGGATATGTTCTTCTCATACAATTACATATCTGTCCCCGCATGCACCTAAATGTTACATATGTTGTACCTGTTCTATCATAGGATTTCAGAAATGGGTCCCACGATTCTGAGCAAGGAAGGTAGCTAACGAGGGGAAAGAAATATTACTTCTTTTCTTTTCTTAAAATATTTTGATAAAGTTAATCACGATTAAATTGGGATAAATCAGTAAATGAATCTTTAATTCAGAAATAGGAGGATTTCAATTATGTTTTTTCTAAGAAAATTGTTCTGATAAAGTTAATCATGATAAGATTGGGTTAAATTGATAAAAAGGAGCATTTAAAACCTAATAAAGTTACTTATGATTAAGTTGGGCTAAATATATAGATAATTAAATAAAAGCACGCTTCTACACTATATTGATGGGTAAATGTGTAATTGTGAAAACGTTGCGAGGATATTTACGTAAATTTGCACTCCGAATAAGCCACCAAACGCTTTTTAACCACGTTTGGGCACCCACTTGTTTACCATTTCGCGTACGGCTCTCATGCTTCTGGTGGGTCCTTTCCTGACGACCAAGCAGAAGACGACACCGTGGAATACGATCACCGTCCTCTCTGTCTCTCTCTTTCCTCCGCTGAGAAGCAACCCTTGGGCTCGATCCACCCTCCACCTCCCCCGCTTACTTCTCCTGTCGCCGGTGAAAGCCTCCCGGCTTCGCAGGAGAACCCAGCCGGAGGTCCACACGAGGTTCCTCTTTCCCGATAACGGAGCAAGGGAAGGCGGCGATGGAAGCAGCCAGCGTTCGACAGAAGAAACCTAGATGGCCCTCCCTCTCGCTCAATTCCCAGGTTGGTAATGCTTTCCCACCATCTTCTCTTCTTCCTCAACTTCCAGTCCGATTTCTTTGATATCTCTACCCTTTAAGAGCTCCTTACTTTTTTGCTTCAAATTTAGGGCTTTTCTTGTTGTTTGCGGTGTTCTTTCTGTAAGTTGAATTGAGGATTGAATCTTTTGAGCGAAAGATGCTGTTTAACTGCATTTCTTGGTTTTTTTTTTATTTCATTTTAGGAATTGATGGGAGATGGAGTCGAAGGACTCGACGATGGTGAGTTGCTTGATGAGAATGCCGGCGCTGAAGTCGAAGACAGAATGCCCGAGGTGGGCATGGTGTTCAAGAATCATCAAGAGGTGTCCAAATTCTACAAGAGATATGCTCGCCGGGTAGGCTTCGGCATTGCAATAAGAAGATCTGCCTTCACCAAAGATGGCCACTGCCTGTACTTAGAGCTGATGTGCTGCAAGGGAGGTCGGAAGCGGCCGGAGCCCAAGTACCGGAAGAGAAATTCGGCGAAGACTAACTGTCCGGCTAGGATTAAGGTGAAGCTGTGGGGTGATGGGATGCTGCACTTGGTGGTGGCCAACATTGACCACAACCATCCGGTGAGCCCCTCAATGGCACGGTTCTTGACCTGTTATAGGCAGCTGTCTGGTGCTGCCAAGAAGCGTGCCGAGCGTAACAAGGATGGAGAGATTGCACAGCCGAGTTTGCCGCCAAGGATGTCCATGAGTCGATTAAGCACACTTGAGGAACTACTATTTAGTGAGAGTGAACATAGGAGTTTTGTGGAAAGAGGTCGGTTGAAGCTTGGAGAAGGAGATGCTGAAGCTCTTTGTCTTTTCTTTACACGAATGCAGGCCAAGAATATGAGTTTCTTCAATACTGTGGATTTAGATGAGGAAGGTTGCCTGAGGAATGTATTTTGGGCGGATGCACGGTCTAGGGCTGCTTATCAGTATTATAATGATGTTGTGATGCTTGATACGACCTATGTGATTAATAAGTACGATTTGCCTCTAGCTACTTTTGTTGGGGTGAATCATCACGGTCAGTTGGTGCTACTCGGTTGCTGTCTGCTCTCGGATGAGACCATGGAGACCTATGGATGGCTGTTTAAGACATGGATAGCATGTATGTATGGGGAGTTTCCCAAGGCCCTGATTACTGATCAGTCTAAAAGCATTCAGACCGCACTTTCTCAAGTGCTGCCTGACGTTCGTCATCGCATGTGCTTGTCACAGATAATGAAAAAAGTTCCTGAGAAATTAGGTGGATCAGCAGATTATAGAGCTATTAACAAGGCAATGCAAAGGGCTGTTTATGATTCCATAACAGTTGACGAGTTTGAGGAAGATTGGAGAAGGATGGTTGAGACATATGGACTTCAAGGTAATGAATGGATCAGGTCATTATATGAATATCGACATTCTTGGGTCCCTGTTTATTTAAAAGACACATTCTGGGCTGGGATGTCCAGCACCCAACATAATGAGACTGTGGCCACATTTTTTGATGGGCATGTAGAAGCAAAGACTTCCTTGAAGCAATTTCTTGGTAAATATGAGATGGCATTGCTGGATAAAATTGAAAAGGAAGCTCAAGCAGATTTTGAGACATTTCATAAGAGACGGCCGTCTGTATCAAAATTTTACATGGAAGAACAACTTTCTAAAGTATACACACTTAATATATTCAAAAAGTTCCAGGATGAGATTGAGGCCATAATGTACTGTCATGCATCACTGGTCAAAGTGGATGGACCAGTGTCTACTTTCGACGTCAGGGAATGTATTTTTTTTGATGATGGAAAGAGGACAATGAACAAGAATCATGGAGTTGTATATAACACAGAAGAAAAGGAGATTCAATGCATATGTGGTTCATTTCAGTTCAGAGGGATCCTATGTCGGCATGCTTTGACTGTATTCAAGTTGCAACAAGTGCATGAAATTCCATCTCAATATGTTATTGGTCGGTGGAAAAAAGACTTTAAGCGATTGCATTTTCTTGCTCATTCTTCAGATGATGCCATTGCCAATAACAGAGTTGACCGATATGATTACTTATCAATGCGATGCCTTCAGCTGGTTGAAGTAGGAGTGTTGTCAGATAAATACCAGCTAGCTCTCAAATTGATAAAAGATATGGAGAAGTTTCTTCTGAGTGATAGAACATATGATGATACACAAGCTAAGATCAGGCCTCGGATTCCTAAAGCAAATAGATTGATCTGGAATCACAGACACAATGCTGAAAAGAGTGTGACTTCTGAAAATGGAAATGCAGTGCAGCAGCCTGGTGTGCTACCACAAGTAAATAAGATCCATGTAGTTAAATTTAAATGGATGCTTTAGTTTATTTTAGTTAGATGCATTTTTGCCTTTTTTTTAATCTGATTTGTAATGCTAAGATGCCATGGACCTTATTGTGTGAGCAGCTTCTTCAAGGAATTACGAAGGCTGCTGAATTTCAAGTTCTTCCAACTCCATGTCTTGCCACCCAGATCAGGCCACTGCTAAACACAAGACCAATGGTTCTGACAGTTCTTAGTATCTTGCTGCTCTACATTATTATTGTTATTATGTAGAATTGCTCATTTTTTTCTTGGAAATGATGTTTATGGTAGGAAGGAGGAAATCCAACTGTCTTGTCTCGCAGTCAATTTGGCTTACCATTGAATGGGAACCACACACCAGTTCGGCCTGGCATTGTCTACATGTTCCCGGTTTGTGTTACTTGCCATTTGTCCTTTCTCCCCAAACTCCTACGGCCCTTTTTTCATGTTAAAAAGGTTGTTTCATGCTATGTGAACTTTAGTCATATATGCAAAAGTATGGTCATCAAATCCAGCTCATTAAATATTCGCCCCTATAGAAGCAAATGAGTCGCTGTGTTTGGTATCCTAACAGAGGATTGGGCTTTGAGCCTTTCATTTTAAGTAACTTGAGGTTATTTAACAATGCCTTCTCAAACTTTAATTTGCAAATTATATGTCACAGGGTGGGTTTGATCCTCAAACATTCGGAAATGGACCCATGATGCCATGGATCTATCAGCCAATGCTCCAGGTTGACATTAATTGCTCCGCATTTGCTTTGATGGGGATAACTTCCATTACATTGTTCATGACATAATCTGAATACACGCAGGCTACTCGGAACCAAAAGGATTCTCCGGCACCAGCAGGTCTTACACCAAAGAGACGAAAGATGTATCGTGGTCACAAGCCTGTGGAAGCAACTCAAAATCCAAAAGAACCGCCTGTTGCAACAACTGGATAATGAAAAGGGGATCAAGCTACAGAATGTAACCCTAGGTGTGTTCACAAATCAAACCAGAATACATGTCCTGCATATTGATGACTGACCTATTTCCATTTTCTAGTTCCACCTATTTCTTTCTTTGATCACAACCACGTGAAAATTATTTATTCCATATGCTACTTTGGAGGAGAATGTGTGGCTGCTTTAACTATTAACCCCAGCTCTATCCATTGGATTTATTTGCTACATTATTAGGAGAATTAATTGCATTTGTGATTTGAACAGTTACATTTGTGTCAGGTTGGTCAAGCCGCAGCTGAAATCAGAGCCCACTCTCCAATTATGATTGCTTTGGGGAAATTTAGATGTCAGCACGAAGGCGCAATCCGAACTCCAATCTCATTGTACAATCTGCAACTTGGGAGAGGTCCTACATCTAATTACTCTAGGATATGGCTTCCCACCAGAAGCTTCGTTCGACAAATTATTTCAATATTTGGCCTGGACTGAGCTTGCTGGAAATTTCGAATTCTGTGATTGAAGTTACTGTTAGGAGCCTGTCTTGGTAGTCTCTCTTACAGAAATTTATCTGAACATAGAAGTAATAAGTTTTAGCCCTGGTAGTAGGCAAACGAATTGCCTTGCCTTGCAGCTGTAAGTGTGTATGTTAGTTTGCTGGTTATGGGGAGAGGAAGCTCATGATGTATGTTAGTACCGTAGTAAGGGTCTGGTTTGGCGACTTGTAATTATAATGTCATTGGGTTGCACATGTTACTGTGAATAAAAAGGTTAACCGTGTTAATAGTTGTGCTTGTTCTGCTCATCTGTTGCCACAAAACCCTGATGTAAATGGAATATAGCCCATCAAATTAGTTGTCCATCTAATACTTGTAATGCTCGCAACTGTCCGTTGAGAAAGATAAAAGATTTTTGAGTGTATTTGTTAAGATATTATATCCAGCAGATTAGTGCATTATTGTACAAAGCGATAGAAGTAAACTTAGCAAACAAAATGTTGCAATGCGTTACAAGAGTAATCAGCAGAGCCAACCCACCCGGCAATAGAACAAACACAATGTCCATTTCTTTCTCTTTTGTGTTTATGAATGAGATTGTAGTTCACGAAAAAACCATGAGTAAAGGCAAACACACCATTTAGCAAAACCCACTTATGTAATGAATCATCACCAGAGGATGAAAACACAACGCCATCGCGATGAGGACTCAGGATACACCACCGTGCAAGCCGCTGATGTGAATCTTGACCTCTTCGAATACTACTGGTTATCTTCTCCATACTCGAATAGGAATACTAGTTATCATCACTTCTTGAGCATCCAGAGAAAGAGCTAAAGAAACGTCCGGATGACCTTTCGTAAATGCTGCAAATTATTATGTCCATTCAGTAAATGCTGCAAAATGACCATACAATACAAAGAAAACCAATGAGACGGGGCGCACACACCATAAAGCATCAATTAAAATGTAGATATGCATTTAAACAATCATAGAATATAATGAACGATCATGAGGATCTAAGATGAGAGTCATTGATTCCATTAGATGATTGCTATACCACAACTGTTCTTAAGCATTTCACAAAAGAACATCTTATCAAATGGTATTGACCGCCTGGAAATTCTATGTTGCACCGGAAGATTCAACCTCCAGTTCTTAGCTCATCTGCTGAACCTTCTTGGTTCATACCATCAATGTTACTCATCTGACTTGAATTCTGCACTCCAATCTTTCTTTGGTTTCTTTCCTGTATCTCAACAGGATGAAGGACTATCCTCATCAAATTCAATGCATATACCATATATATGGATCACCAAATCTTGGGTAAGGACACATTAAGAAGCCTAATAATTACAATTCCGTCAAGAACACATATCCAACCACAAGGCAACTATAATTTCTGGTTCATAAGTACTACCCAACTAAAGGCAGATGCATGATAAAGCATTAAGTTGAAAAGGAACCCCTGCTCTGCAGATCTCGATGCTGGCCACAGTACAGTCAGTATGCATTTAGGCACTACCAGTATTAGTATGCATTTTGATACAAATGCTATATTACAGGTTACAATGCTGACACAATCACCTCAAAAGGAGTTTCTCTAAAATCTGTAATTAAATTATCACAAGATTGTCGACAAATCAGTTATCATCAGTGGTGTTTGATCCCAGATTACTGTTGGCTTTGTGAATTTTGCTTTGTAATTCTCCCAAAAAGTCCATCTGCAAACACAACACAGAACAGTGATTTAGGTGCATGAAAGAATTACAAGTTAAAGCAAAAGAAAAATCCTCTCTGTGCCCACCTGATGGGGAAGTTTGAAGTGAACCCAAGACGAACCACTGGCTCCAGAGTACATGACTGGTTTTACTGGAATAGATGAAGACAAATTAACAGAACCAATACCATCAAATAATAATGATAACTGTCTGCAATTATAATTGGGGTGGGTCCGGAACATCGAAGCAGTCTAGCATATTTAATCAACTTCCAGAAAAGTGTATATACATCAATTTACTAAGTAAATGATATCTCAATCAATAAAAGTAATCATATATGTAAATGTATCAATTTATTTTCTCAACAGCTAAATTTGAAGTTTGATTAACAGCTTACCAACACTATTCAACAACATCCATAATGATAACGCTGCTAAACAAAAACTGAAGATAAAGCAGTCGTTGCATCTCATGTATAATTTCCCAAAAAGGACAGTTTAACAAGTACATAAAACCCTCCACATCTGTAGGGTTTCTGGGTTCAAAATCATGTGGAGGTGGAATCATAACCTTTGCTTTTTGAATTTCAGTTATCTTTTACTCAGAAGTTTTAAGAAAATCATAGGCCAAACCAAACAACAATAGGATGGATTTATTCCATGCTGGATTGACCTACTGCTGCTTTGGCCAACCTGCACCAGCACAGCAGGATATATCTTGCACTGTTTGTCACAAGATCATCAAGCTCATAATTATTTTTTCGATAATGGCTGAAATAATCCAATACCCCATTGTAAAGCCGGTTGTAGGATCCCTATTTTGGTTTACTATCTATTTGACTAGTAAGTAAAGTTCAACCAGAAACAAAATTTCCAGCAAGTTTGGCATTTTCAGAATGTCATATTATTACTCATTGGAATCTTATATTTTGCTACAAGCACTGGCCTCTGCGATAGAGCTCAAAAGAGACTGCAAGACCTGACTTGCTGCCCAAGTGTCCGATTCCTAAAAGGAAACCAATACTGAGAACAATAAATCCTGGCCGGTTTGCAAGGATATGTTGTCTGATATCTGGTGTGCCCTGGATCTGCTATCTGACATTAAGGCTAGGATGTGGCCTATAGTAATTTATCTCTGAGGTAAGCTTAATTTAGAAGTGAAAGAACAGTTCATTATGGGGCTCAGCATCATGATTCTTGTCAAGGAAAACAATTCACCAATAAAGAGAACTTAACTATCAAATAAAGTACAATAGGATTGGCATTAAAGAATCTCCAAACAGTATGCACAGATACTAACTTTCAATCCTTTTGTATTGTATAAAATTCACAGTTCAAAGTGTGACTCCAGTAGGCAATAAAATTTGACAATAAATATGTGCATAGAATTTTTTCCAGAAGGAGACTATTCAAATTTTTAATACTAGCAACCATTAAAAAAGTTAAGAGATTTGACATTCTGCAATAGCTATATGAAGATATCAAAAATCTTGTCTAAGTCATATATGTAAAATCATCCATCATGTGCTGTCATTTAAGTAATATAGCACAGGACAAAATGGAAGAATGTGGTGAAGTGATTCCACAAAAAGACAATATTCTAAGCCAATTACAAGAACCTTATTTCTTTTTTAACTTTTAAGTAGGAATATATGTGGGTGGATACTTCTTTAAAGTGATTCTCAGAATGAACAACTAAATCACTCAACAAAGTAAAGACGAACTATATTCAAATAATCCTAGAATGCAGATGCATATAGCTCACCAGATACATCAGCTGATGAGTCGTCCAACTGATGAACAGCAGCTGCCCACCCTGCATAAAGAGAAAAGGGAGATTGACTGCAGCCAATTCATATGCAAACACACATATACACTAACAAAAAAAATGAATGAGATTCCTTTTTGTTGGTGTTGCATAATGCTGACTTGTTTTTAACAAAACTCTATAATTGATAATACAATTGTTATAAAAAGATAAATCAAAATGATGTGAGATTCAAAGCAAGAACTTTATATAAAGAGGACAATCACGTATTTAGCAAAATTGGAAGAGCACAAATTGGTGATAAGGAAAAATGGTGCTCATAATGGTTAATGTTGCAAAGCATAAAATATTAGAAGCATCATAAACAAGTTGAATCATCCGAGATGATAAAATCCTGTAGAAAAGTGGCCTTGTGAGACAGACTTAATGTCAAGAGGATAAACAATTCTAACCTATAAGTGCTGGACTGATCCAGACTGAAAATAAGAAAATTCATCCCGAATTATCTTTTTACCAATTTTACCTGAGACAAAAGTAGTGGAAGTTGAGAGGCGAATGAAAACAAGAACATGGGATAGAAACAAAAGGGAATTATGGGAATAAGCATGTCGCCAAGAAATGTATTTGACCTCAAACTAATCAACTATATTTTCTCTTCTCCAGCAGATCAGACCTTCTTGAATTACTGATAGCCAACTCGGTCAGCAGTTCCTTGCTGACTTGAAAAGGATATTGCAACTAATTAAACATCTCAGTCAGGCCTCTTAAAAGCAAGAGCAAGGACTCCCATACTTATGAATTAAGGGTTTCCAGACAGAGAAAAGAAGGGTAATCAGCCTTTCAGGTGCTTGTTAAAAACATTATATGGCCAGCGGAAGAGTATAATACTGAGAAGAACTTCCAGGCAAATAAAAGCATAAAACCTAGCCTTCTTACGATCCATTGTAACCTAAAATGAGATAATAGTTGCACACCTGATATCATAAGGCTATGCATTACCTGTTCTGCCTCCTAAAGAGGTGATCAACAGCACACAAGGCTCCTACCAATGCATGGTCCAAGGGCCGTCAATGTGCTCAACCTTGCCTTTGCAAGTAGAGAAACTGTTTTCAAGACTCAAACTTGATCACCTAGATGACAAAAAACAACCTTACCAGAAAATCAAGCCTACCCTTTACGTGTTCAGCCTCCTAATAATGTGTTATAAGAGACACCATATACTTGGAGTTGATCATAAAAGATAGACACGTATGATTTATCATAAGAACATTAATTCTGCATGACATTCAAGAAAAAAAATGTTATAGGGCTCATCACAAAAAATATTGTGCATGACATATTGTTAAAAAATGCTTTACATGCTTCAAAAAAAGGTTCCAACAATCAACTTCAGATATGTAGAGATGGTCATGCAAATTTCCTGTAGAAAATGACGCAAGAATCATTTTAAATAAAGGGCATCATGCATGCATGATCGCAAAAAACAAAGATGGCTTTGCTAGACTAGTATAAACACACGTGAAAAAGAAATACAGTCGAAAAGTTAGTAACAACTTGCAGACAAAAGGCAGCAGACCAGAAAACTCGGTCGTAAAATAATGTCCAAAAGCGAGAACATTTTTATGATGAAGTATTTTTAGAAGTTAGACCTTCGAAGTACCATTCAAGTACCAGAATCTAAAAATGATGTTCATATGTTGATACAGACAAGTACAATCAGTACACCATCACATTGGTATGTTTTAAGCAGTATGGTCAGTATTTGAAACCATGTCTTGTGCTACATCCAAGAAACATTATATAGAACAGCAAGGAATCATGTACCAGCAGTGATGCAAACATCTAAAAGACAACAGACATCAACTACCATGAGACAACTTTGCAAGCACTTAAAAGAAGAGGAACCTGGATGGCATTTGAAAATCAAAACCTTAGCAGAACTCATGGTAATAGCCATGAAAAAATTTTAGAGAGTAGTTTATATATCTTCAAGAAATTGGAGATTGGACTCAGCATTACCAATCAAGGGAAGCTATATAACTATCGCACTGCAGTTTTTATTACAACCCTAATATTTGGATTAGGCAACCAATAGAAATATCAATGCACATCAAACTAGCAACTTCACATGGCCACAAGCTAATGATACAGGTATGACCAATAAAATTAATATGCTAATCCTTGGAGTACAAAATATTCTGTAATGAAAACTAAAAAAAGAGAAAAAGCAACTTCAAGAGGTTAAGCCTTAGACGTAGATGTATCAGATAAAATATGCATACACATACTTACGATCTGTTAGAAATTTCACAACCTCACTAGTAGAACACCCCTCTAAAGGTATCAACTTCTGATGAGTGTTCTCCTTTGCAACATTGTTACTTCCTACCTCCCCATGTTCCACAGCAGGAAAGTTTCTTGGATAAGATGCTTGACTCTTTTCGCCATCAGTCCCATGCGAATAGTTCACTTTATCATATGCAAGGATAAAATAAAAGCCAATTATGCATCCACAGAGAAATTTCAGTAAAGAAATATCTTACAGTATGTCTTCTCATGAGTGGATGCATATAAATAATTTATAGCCTTGAGAACCAAGCAATCACAGTATGGATTGATAATGCTTTATGTATAAATTAAGATGCTAAATGACCATCATTTTTTTCTGATAAAAAGTATATTGGATCAAGCATCTCATATGCCGACATCAATTCGTGTTGCTCATGCACTGACATGAAGGCAAATTACCTGCATCAGTATGTGGGTTAAAATTGAATGTGATATATCTGAATAGTAAATTTCATGCTTTTAAGATATTCTGCATATGAGCAAAACGAAGCCCATGTGTTCAGAAACAATGTACTAGGTACTTTTAACAGCAAGCTTCTAAGATTTAGCACATAAAATACAAGAAACATTGCAGAGTTTGTTCTTTTTTTCATACAAGTGAATGACAAGATGTACTCATGAAATCAGGAAGATTTCTACTCAACTTGGAACCTTGAAACCATGATCTAAAGAATCAATCTATTGTCACACTACAACAAACGACCAAGTCATGTAAATGAAGCCACAAGACTACAATGTGTCCAAGTCCTAATTTCCCAGAACATCTGAAAAATGCTTAAATTTGACCAGTGAAAGAACCCTAGACCATGATCGACAAACCCTAATCTACTTATCTGACCAGACATAAATGAAACAAGAGAGAATACCTCCAGATCTGCGCCGATTGATTGAACGATTCCTGCAACATTAGTAGGCACCCGATCAAAAAGTTGAGCTTCGGTTAAAAAATAAAAATAATAAAACAATCTGCAGCTACGAGACGCAATTGAACAAACAGCTGATGAGCGTGGCGCTTGATGGCGCAAATGGACCGCGTCAACGCAAGAGAGGGCCAAGACCACGCAAAGGATAGGGGATTCAGGCGTGACTAACCTGGAGGCAGGGGGTACGAAGCGCTTGACGCTCTCCTGCACGTTGTCGAGCATATTAGCCGGGCAATCGACGAGACTCCGCGCCGCGCTGGGAGGAGAGAGAGGAAGAGGAGCCCCCTTTCAACGCTCCCACGGCGCAAGTCCGGTGCGAGCCCAAGCGAGAGAGAGAGAGAGAGAGAGAGAGGAGAGAGAGAGAGAGAGAAAGCAAAAGATGGGGCCGTGAGAGCACATAGAAATTCCAAGGCCCTGATGTTTAGGTGGCCCGAGTCACCCCTGGCACCAGTGACAGTGACACCAAGCGTGTGGGTCCCAGAGAAGGGAACACAGTGACTCGGACACCAAGCGTGTGGGCCCGAGAGAAGGGAACACATCACCCCTGAACGATATCGGGGGCGACTCAGTAATGTCCGATATAGCAAATTTTTCGTGAGATTCTTTTTCGTTCTTTTTTTCACTGGAACGCACGGCCACGCAGCCGACTCAAACCGCAAGTCATTTCAGTTGTGATCTCAATTCACCGTTAAAGTTATCATCACAATTTGTGCCATTTGATTGCGTTACTATTAGACTTACTACTAAACTACACAGAAACAAACACTTCAAGACACGCAGCATTAGAAACTGAGGGCACCCATAAACCTACATCAACTCAGACATATGCAGTAAAGTTGGATTCATAGAGATAATATAAAAGCTATGTTTCAGTGATCTCAGCTCGCCTCCCTCCCCATGTTATCTCGGTTTCTTGCAATATCGACACACTGTCTGCTGATTGCACTATCTTGTTCTTCTTTGCATGGGTAGCCCAATCGAGAAGACCGGCTTGCACATTATCTTCGTATATGGAGTTGTTGAATGAACTCTCCATCTGGACTTCCAGAAGAGACACCCAGTTACATAAGAGGATTCAGAGCAGGAGTGCATGATACTAAAGCTCACCTGGGTAACAATGGCAGGGCGCTATAGATGGAGAGGAGCTGTATGATGACAGTGAATACCAGCAAAACAACTAGAACTAATCAGACAAGTGCAGTTGCTGTCAATAGGTTGCCGTCTGCCTGATTACTAACCTGGCAACACGAAGCCTGCTTGCTGAATGATGCAGAAATAGGAGACATGCCGTCTGCATCACCAAAAGCATCAGTTCACAAATGACTTTATTCAAACTGAAAGCTTCTTAATATTCTTACTACGACACATACAAATTCCCTGACAAAGGAGTATTGGTTTCTCTGTCAATTTTGCAGAAAGAATTGATTTTTGTCTGGGTTAAGAAAGTTCAAAAACCAAATGCTAGTAAAACTAATTTTGTTCAGTTTAGGATGCCAATTTTGAAAAACCACCCAAACTGCACTGAACAGAACCATATATTTGTTCGATCAGATACTAGAAAATTATAAATCTAATGCATTTCGTGAATACATATGAACATATATTTGCATGGCAATTATGATATTTTGTGATATTGTGAATACATATAATAGTAGGGTTTGAAAACCAGACATGACCAAATAATTTTGGTTCAATTTGTTTTACAGTTCAATCTAGTCTGGTTTCAAGTTCTACAATTGTACTAATTTGTTCAGTCTGAAAATACCCTCAAAACTAAACTGAAAGCCCACATGGGGCACTTTCTGAAATGAGTGATCAATTATGTCAATAAGTTTGGCTACACAATATTGAGACCCATGTCAATATACATATGGAACCATTCCACATGCAAGAAATCAAAAAAAAGCAGACTTTTACAGAACCAATAAAGGCAATTACTCTGGAAAATAATATTGGAGATAAAATAAAAGAGGCCAATATATGCAGTACTAACTTAAACCACAAACCATAATATGTGTATGCGTGTGTGTGTGAACATATATATAAATAAATATATATATATTTATTTATTTATTTATTTATTTATTTATATATATATATGTGGAATTTGCTATCCAGAAGAAAAATGCAACCTTGAAGGCATTTTCATATAGAATGTAGTGTATCAAGATGACAATTCGTGGTCCTGAAGCCGGAAAAGATGGTCCAATGGTATAACCACCAAGTTATCTTCATCGATAGAATGTTTATCAGCAACCTCATGGACCAAGTGAGTGATAATATTGTCCAATTTGGTATGAACAGCAAGCAGAAGTTGTGATATCACCAGATTCAAGTCAATATTTCAAGAGAATTTCCCATAGTGCAACTGTGCAAGTCAGATTTGTGTATGCACAATTGAAGTACAAAATCTTGGTTTCATATGTGCTTTGGGAAAGGTGGCAAAAATTAACCAAAGTAAGCATGCATACAAAAATGTACATGCCAAGCTGCAAACAAAATGATGAATGTAAGAAGATGGAACACAAACAGAGAAGCTGTAAATCTAATAGCAGCAGCAAGGATGTCACATCATGATGATACTTCTGAATTAATTATGGTGTGTGGACAACAATGACAACTAACTTGAGGTACCTAATTTAGTAATTTAAATTAACTTGTGAATTTTAGTCTTATTTTGCAGTTTTTAAATGGAAGTTTGTCAGTATTTGACAATCAAACTACGAATTATGATCATAGAAGGAGAAGATAAAAAAGACTGATGATCCAGCATTAAATTCCTGCAATATTATGGTTTTGTCATTTTGATTTCTGGTAGTGAAATGGTTTTTTATTTGGTTTCAGGAATTTCCAAACCGTAACTAATCAATTTGGTTTGTTCTCATCGATAAACTGGATCTAAACTGGACCAACTGAACCATATACATCCGTATCAGACTGAATAGGATACATCATGTCAAGAACTAAAAAGTATATAGGATCATGTGTCAGTTTAAGCTTACGAAATTTCTACGTGCAAAGTTGATCTTACCTTCAACAATTAATAACAAGAATATCATAACAAAAAACCCACAGGCATCAATTACAAAACAAAAAGGAAAAAAGAGAAACCACAATTACATAGATAACATAAAAATGATCTCATATTAGGCTATTAATCATAGTCCCAAATTGCCTGAACAAATCAATTAAACCTAACTGAACTTTAGGAACTCAAATTTACAAGATGCATGTATTCTTGTTTACAGTTACCTTATATCAACAACTTTTTTTGAGTCAGTTTCAACGACTCATTATATATTTGTAAACACTAAATTTCCATATTGAAGAAAGACAGGAATTAGGACTGTGAATAACAGCCAACAATATGCTTACCATGATAAATACCGGTCTCATATTAGTGTGGTCTGTCTTGGTAATGGATCCATATATTGCTTAAAAAAGAATGCTGAAACATACTCAAGTTTGATTTCGAATTTAGAAGAGCAGATGCATTTTTGTCATGTAACATATCTAACACTAGAAAAGTGACTTTCTGAAAAGAAAAGAATCAAGTGTTGTGGATTATCAGGTAAAAACTATTCTCATTACAAGAAGAAGTCATTTTTACTCCAAATCTTTTCCACAAACAGAAACATGTCTGCACAAACTCCAACTGCAATAATATGAAAGGATTTTAGCAAATCTGATTCCATTTATAACATACTACAACAACAAAACTCAGAATCCATAAGCTTTATCATGGTCCACAACACTTATACATAGAAGCGGAAATTGAATGTTTCATTTAGTTTCTTTATGCTCTTGGTATTCAATTATAGAATAAGCCAGCCGAAATTTCCCTTTATTTTATAGAAAAGTTAGAACTTAGAAACATCATATTAGGATCAAGATGCATAGTAGTTTTAATACATGGAAAAGTAATATCCTACATACCATCCAACTCAATATGAACGAGTCCGTGCCAAAGCCCTCGAAATGTTTTTTGATAAATTCAAAATGCTGCACATGGCTGATCTTTGGAGGAGCTGCTGCATATCATTGTCTTTTGGTTAGCACATCATTGGCATTGCATCAAGTGCTTTTCTTTTCACATAAATATCAAACAATGTAACCAACACCAAATAGTTTAAATCTTACAGCTTGCATTTTTTTTTGTATATATAATATCAATTCATAGTATTTTAAAGCAGAAAATCATTTCAGATATTAGCTATCATATGCAGCATGCTGTCAATCCATCAGTACTTTGTTCATACCATTTTGCATCATTTTTCTGAACTAACTCCTCCCAGAATCTCCAATTTGCATCTAAAATATGAAGAGTCAAAATCAACATACTCAAGGAAGAATTTAGCATATTTGCAGAGAAACAAAATAAACAAAATAAACATACTCAAGGAAGAAATTTTAGCATATTTGCAGAGAAACAAAATAAACATGAAAAAAAATTATAATAATAAATGGATACCTGTGCAGTTCCTATAACAAAAGTGATAAGGTTGAGAACCACGAGTGACAGAGAAAACAAAATAAAGGTACAAATTCATGGATAACCAAACAAGTAGTAATAATGGAACATTTCCAAGGACCAAGGAAATATATCAGAACACTAAGGTTCAGTTGTTCACTCAAACTATAGCTCCAATAAAAATGCCTTTATTCCTTCATTTTCTTGTTTGCAAGAAATGAATGCTGATAGTTGCAGCTCAAAAGTAAAAACTTTCTTGTTCCTCAACAAGCAAATTGAACTGTTGGAAGAAGTCAATATTTAGGAAATATTGCAAAAAGAAATATAAATGTCAAGAAATCCAATGAGTTCAAAAGGCACACTATCATGAGCTGCAATTGTAAATCATTTCATAAAAGAAAAGCTTGTGAATAATTAATTGGTCATCACAATGAGTCCATGGAGATCATAGTCAAGATCCACTTAGTATTTCTAGACAATTGCTGAGTCACAAGCATTTAAATATAGAAACCTAGCAATGAAGTGTTTGTGTAGTTCAATTGTTTACAAATTTTCAAAAAATAATTCTTTGCATTGATCCTTGTTGATTTCAGTTCCTCGGGAAGTACAGATTACTGACCTTACTCATAGTTTTTTCTAAAGGAAACATCGGATCCCCACAATATCAAACTTTGCAAGATAAGGCACAAGGTTTCAATAATAATCCTAAATCAAAAATAGGATATAAGATCCTTACAAGCCCACTTAAACCCACTGACTCAGCTACTCACAAAGATGGATACTTGTTTAGTCTTTTGGTCATAATGCTGAAGTCAAGGCATGAGGGTATGACAAAATAAATGCATAACAAAGCTTCCACCCTTCCATAAGGGATGCTCTATCTTTGAAGATATCAAAGGGTAAAAATAGTTTGCATGAATAATTGTTTAAAGCACGTTTATCCCAATTGACACCATTGTTGGAAATCTTCAAACTACATAGAACACATTACCAACACCAAGACAACTTGTGACCCATCCATAAGAAATAGGGAAGACAGGAGGCGTTCATATCAAGCTTCCCTTATTAAAGAAGAAAATGATCAATGTGCAACCACACTCATAGCCATGTGCTGAAAGTTTATATGAACTAGCAGTATATTGGTGAATGCCAAAACTGCTAGAATAAGCGACAAATTTTAGAAATAACAATAAGTGTCTCCTATCAATTTAGCATAATAGTACAGTTTCCAAACCGATTGCATGATTCAGACAATTGCCATCCTTTGCAAATACTTCGAGAGCTTGTCCCTTGTCTACATGTTCAGATGAGAGGACAGGCTTTCTATTAAATAAATTCATAAACACAAATTTCATTACCTCATCAAACAAGCAAGTTTAGCATATGGTTTACCTAGCACTACTGCATATACAGACTGCTCCCCTTAATTTTCAGTAACATAAAAGTGAGAGGCCACCATTATCACTGGCCGGATCATAAAAATATATTTTTTGTAGCATAAATTTTAATATCTCAACAATCATGCAAGTTTAGCATTGTTTACCTAGCACTATTTCATATACTAGACTACTCCCCACAATTATTAGTAACAAAAAGATGAGTGGCCACCTTTCTCACTGGCCATATCTACAAAATATTTATATATATGACCAAAAACACATTTTAACACCAGACCGCATACCAGAAACTAACAGCCAAATCTTTATACAAGAATATCCCAGAAAAAGCGATTCCTAACTAGTAAGAAGGAAAAAACTGAACACTATCCTGGCAGAGTGAAACTAATGGTAGCATCAAACACACAGAGCTAAGATGGAGAAGATGCTCATGTCCATCAAGATTGACAACTCCATGATTTTTCAACATCATGTGATATATTCTATAGTCTTGCACCATAAGCCCAAGGATGATCATTCAGATAAGCTTGCACCGCTTCCTTGATGGCCAGGTTTGGTACCAATTGGTGTTGTTCCAGTGGTTCTCGTGTGATTGGGTCAAAGTTACCAACCTACAACATGAAAATCTCAGTTTCCATGAAGTGATATATGAAATATTGAATGAGTAAAAGCTCTAATAGTACAAATTTGATACTGAAATACAACCAAACCTTCTGTAGATGCTTAATTATCATTGCCCTTTCATATGTAATGCCACTAGGAGCAATCACAGGATCCTGAAAGATGTTAAGTGTAATCTTACAGCAAAGATAGTCAGGCACCTGAAACATCAAGTTAAAATCAAGTATTTCTTGTCCAGAGAAACAACATAAATAAATAGAGATCGGAGTCTTGAGTGCTCACTTCTGTTGGGGTGTCAACAGATGCAGTTTTACTAAACACCTCATTGAGGACTCTGAGTTGTCCAACAACATCATTTTCTGCCTCTTTAGGGCCATAATCATCTTGAGAATCATGAAGAAAATGGTACTCCGTCAAAGCTTTTTCACAAGAGTCCCTGTTATGTAAAAGAAAATGTTGCAGCAACACGAAAAGCATAATCAAGTAATTAAACTTGAGGCTCTCATCATATATAAGATAATAAGAAGATGTGACTGACTTCAAGTTTTGTAGCATCCACTCACGCTTGCTGGACAAAAGTTCCCATTCATTGTACTTTGCTTCAAAAAGACTCTGCTTAATCTCCATCACCATATCACTTTTAGGGTTGATGAGCCCCTCAATATTCAAGGCCTATGCAATAAATTTATTAGAACTAGTTATTCAAGAATCAAGAGTAGCTTACAAAACATTTCATCAAATCACAACAGACAAATGAAACCCTGACGATTGAACCATATAGTGATGGTTTGGCCATGACCAATGATTATGTTATTCTAATCAAGATCTAAAGTTTCAGTCAGACCAGTCCATACTATGGGTATTTATTTACCAGTTCAACCACAAGCAGGAAAGCAGACCAGAAAATATATCCCAGTTTGTATTTATATCGGGCATAGTGCCTGACAATGTGACTGGTACCATACTGTATTGGATGCGGCAGTAATCTTGACTAGACACTGGCTGATAAGTTGAATTGTGGTGATAAAAGTACACTTGAAATGGTTGAGTACAATGTCTTATTTATACATGTGGGAAGGAAGGATTTCCCTCAACTGTCCAGCGAGATTTTCTCATACAGTTGAGGAAATCTTATATACTATCATGCCTCCACAAGATTGAGCTTCTGTCAAGGATGCCAATCTTGGACCGATGCAACGAAAATAGTTTGCGGACGAGAGGCTTCGTGAGTGAGTCTGCTAGTTGATCAGTCGTATGTACGTGAGAAACACGTAGTTGATGTCTGACAACTTGATCTCGCACAAAGTGGAAGTCGATGGCAATATGTTTCATGCGTGAATGGAAAACCGGATTGGCACATAGGTAGGTAGCTCCAATATTGTCATAATATATTGTAGGAGGAAAGGTAGAGATGACGTTGAGTTCCTTGAGTAGATTTGTGACCCAATTGAGCTCAACAGTAACAGTAGTGGCGATGGCATGATATTCAGCTTCAGTTGTAGATCGTGCGACTATCTTTTGCTTCTTAGAACTCCAACTGATTAGATTAGCTCTAAGGAAAACAATATACCCCGACGTGGATGTTCTATCATCAAAGTTTCCTGCCCAATCAGCATCAACAAAAGCATAGAGATGAAGCGGGGCGTGTTTGCGAAGAAAGAGGCCCTGATTGAGGGTCCCCTTAAGATAACGCAAAATTCGTTTGACCGCAGACCAATGCGTAGTAGATGGCCGATGCATGAATTGTAATAATTTATTGACTGCAAATGAGATATCTGGACGAATGAGAGTCAAGTACTTATCGGTATTGAGTAGAGTCCGTAGCAGGACTTCCATCATATAATTTAAGTGATTCACTAGTAGATAGGGGAGTTGTAACCTCTTTTGCATCCTACATATTTGTCTTTGATAATAAGTCTTGAATATATTTTCTTTATGATAGGAGGAGACCTGGGGATGTGAATGTTGCTTCTACTCCCAGAAAATAACTCAAGGTTCCCAGATCTTTGAGGGAGAATCGATCAGCAAGTTGCTTTAGAAATGCCTGAATCTCCAAAAGATCATTGCTTGTGACAATAATATCATCCACATACACTAGAAGATATATTGTATTTCCATTTCGTTGTTGTAGGAATAACGATGTATCAGACTTGGAGTTGATGAAGCCCGTTGATATCAAAAAACGAGCCAAGTTCAGTATACCAAGCTCTTGGAGCTTGACGAAGTCCATAAATAGTTTTTTGTAGTTTGCAGACATGCCTCGAATATTGTGGATGAACGAAGCCAGGAGGTTGCTGCATAAGGACATCTTCAGTTAGAATCCCCTGTAAAAAGGTATTGTTAACATCTAGTTGTCGTAGGTGCCATCCTTTTGAGGTGACCAAACTCAGGATAAGTCGGATTGTTGTGGGTTTAATAACGGGATTGAATGTCTCTATGAAATCAACACCAGGTCGTTGATAAAACCCTTTGGCTACTAGACGTGCTTTATACCTAACAACGGATTCATCTAGGTTCCGCTTAATTTGAAAGACTCATTTACACCCGATGATGTTTTATGTTGATGAAAGGGTACTAGGGTCCATGTAGAGTTATGGAGGAGAGCATCATATTCTTCACACATGGCTTTACGCCAGTGATAAGATTTTTGAGCTTGAGTAATTGTGGTAGGTTCACTAGCCTCAGGAGAAGAGTTCGTTATAGCATGTAGGTCAAGGACATGACGTGGTTTAAAAATGTCACTTTTGGAGCGTGTTGTCATTGGATGTCTAGGGGCTATGGAAGTGGTAGGTTGTGTAGTTGGTATAGCCGGTGGTGAGTCACTAACATCGGTCGGGCCAGTCTGCGGCACTTCAATATCACGAGGTCTAGGAGAAGATGAAGCCAATGGCGATGTTGCCTAGGGTATTGCTTCATCAATAGGGGAAACCTGTGAAGCAGGGAGTGGAGGAATAATGAAGAGAGTGAGGAGTTATTGAACTGGATGAGTGTGTTGATCTTGAGGGTAAGGACTGGACGGTGATGTAGGAGGTTCGTGTGACGGGATCGGAGAGATATTCCACTGATGTATGTTTGTCGGAGTAGCTTGCATGGTAGGATGATTATGATTTTGAAAAGGAAAAGAAGACTCCACAAAAATAACATAACAGGATATAGACTTTTTGAGTTTGGGGTTCGTAGTAATGGAAAACGTTATGTTCAAGAGAGTATCCTATAAAAATACAAGACTAAGATCGTGGTGTTAGCTTATGTGAGGCATAAGGACGTACCCATGAATAATATTGATAACCAAAGATTTTGAGTTTTTGAAGGTTTAGAAGCTTGTGGAATAGTTTTTCCAAATGGTAACTGGTATTGGAGGACTGGAGTGAACATACGATTAATGAGATAGACTGCAGTTTGAAAGGCTGCTGACCAAAGAGTTGGTGGCATGGATGCCTGATGTAGAAGTGTGAGACCAGTTTCAACTATATGTCGATGCTTGTGTTCGACAGAACCAACTAATTGGGGAGTATGAGGGGGTGACTTGAGGTGTTGTATACCACAAGCTATGAGACAAGATGTGAGGGCTTGATATTCGCCTCTGCCATCAGAGTAGACTGTTCTAATGGAAGACTGAAAGAAATTCTTAACCAACTTTCTAAAGTTGGTAAAGATTGTTGAAACTTCTGATTTATGGTGGAAAAAATATAACCATGTGTACTTAGTAAAATAGTCGATAAAAATGACATAAAATCTGAACTTGTCAAAAGAAGGGGTTGGGACAGGACCCCAAACATCGGTATAAATAATTTTAAACGGTTTAGAGCAAGATATGAAGGATGTTCCAAAAAGTAGTCTATGACTTTTATTGTTACGACAAGCATCACAATGAGTTATAGTACTACTGGTATTAAATGTAGGAAGAAAAAAATAAGAAAGTAATTTTGGCTGGATAAAGGATGAGGGGTGACCAAGAGGTCGATGCCACACATCAATTGGAGCTGCAACTGAAGAGTGAATAGTAGACTAAGTTATTTGTGAAGCTGACGGCCACTCATAAATGTTGTCTTTGTTCTGACCTTAGACTAAGGATGCCCCCGTGCTCATAAAGATTTCCTCAACTGCATAAGGAAATCTTATCTGCTATCACTGGCCTCCCCATCTTTTTCCCTTTTTCCTCACTTGGTTCCTCTTCCCTTGTTTCTCCTCCAGCAACAGCTCCTTTCCTCTCCATTTATTTTATTAATTTCTTCTCCAGATTACTTCCTTTTTGCATCAAATTTCTTAAATAGCTTTGATTTTGAGCTTTTTTCGTGCTATGGAGCGAATCTCTTGAGTGGAAGTTTATTATTCCTCAAATCAAGTTGAATCTGAATCTTGCCACCACGTTTCTTTCGCTTAAGAGTGGTCTTCTGCTTAGATTAAAACTAAAAATTCTCACAACAAACATTTAACTGATGGCAGATCTATGTGTATTGATGTATATATAAATATTTGGAGGTATGCTGAATCACTGGACATCTAGGCCAGTGAATCTGTGTATTTTGCATAGAACTATTTAAATGTATGTCAAATCTGCATGGATCCCTGCTAGATCGTGTGGACCAGCCAATATTTGCATGCAACTATCCCATATCAATGCAAATTCACCCAATATCAGCATATATCTAACACAGAACTTTGAAGATCCAACCATGTAGATTTAGACTAGAATGGCAAGGATGTGACCGAGAGTTACCCATATCCACCCAAGACCAACAAGAACAGAGATCTAAATCCTCACAGAACTAGGCTAGATCCACATAAATTTAGGCTAGATCATGCAAATCTGGCCAACATCTGCATAAAGGCAAACTAGAACCACAGGGACCCAATCCACATAACTGCAACCAAGATCTTCATAGATCAAGCATAAAGTTGCATCAATTCAATAAAGATCCATGTAGATCTAGGCTAAATCAGCAAGATCCAGCTTAGATTTACTGAGATCTACAACAGAACTAGCTTGTCCTTTTATTAGTCAATTTTTTTTTAATTATGTATGTGACTCCGTTTGTTCATGTTAATAGAAAAATGACACCAAAACAACAGAATCAATCCAATATGGCAACACACGTCAATTGGAGCACCACCATTATTAGCAATGCATCCAGTGGATGAATAACAAGATTGAAATAGCATTTGGCCAATGAATTTATTGACATGGCCAAATGCACAAAAATCCCACGATAGAAAGACAACGCTTTCAGGGCTTGATAAGTGGACAATGGGGGAACCTTGATAAGTGGACATTCAAGCATCCTATCTATGATAAATATAAGATTTGATTGGACAACATTTGAGGACCTAAGCTTGCTACTTGTATTCATGCATCATTGAGTACTCTCATATGCATGAGGAAAGTATGAGACACCAATATCAGTTCAGCTCATCTCATTAGAAGCATGAAAGTAGCAGTGTCAGTAGCGCTGGTCCATCCCTGATCAACGGATCTTACAGCATAATGCAAGCCAACAGTAGTGGTGCAACATATGATCCTAAACTAGGTAGTATTGTTAGTATAAGGCAGCTAACTAAATTTCAACCCCCTGAAAAGGACATCAGGGGTCTCTTCAGCTATTGCAGTGGAAGCCAACATTTGATGTTGAGACTGGTCTTATGGCATCCCCCCCAAAGGGCCAAAAAACATA